TATTACTCAGCCACAAAAAAGAATGAAATCTTACCATTAGCAAAAACATAAATGAATCTAGAGAATATAATGCTAAATGAAATAAGTCAGACAGAGAAAGACAAATACCATATGATTTCACTTATATGTGGAATCTAAAAAACAAATGAACAAGCAAAACAGAAAGAAATTCATAGTTACAGAGAACAAGCTGATGGTGACCAGATGGGAGGAGGTTAGGAAAATGGATGAAAATGGTAAAAGGAATTAAGAAGTACACATTTCTGGTTATAAAAATAACCATAGGAATGTAAAGTATAGCGTGGGGACTATAGACAATTCAGTTGGCCAAAAAGCTTGCTTGTTTTTTCCATAAGATGGCTCTACCAGTACTTAGTTGTCTTTAACTTCATTTGAAAAAATTTTGTTAGACTGTATTCTGACAGCTGTCATATAAGTGTGCATTAAAAAATAGCAAAATTGGTGACTTTTTGTGTAGCCATTTTAATATTGAAGATGGGAGAAAATATGCAACATTTTCAGCATGCTATGCTTTATTATTTCAAGAAAGGTAAAAATGCAACTGAAACACACACACAAAAAAAAACATTGGTGCACTGTATGAAGAAGGTGCTGTGAGTGATGGAACATGTCAAAAGTGGTTTGTAAAGATTCCTGTTGGAGATTTCCCACTGGATGATCTTCCATGGTCGGGCAGACCAGTTCAAGTTGACAATGATCAATTCGAGGCATTAACTGAGAACAGTCAACATTATACCATGAAGGAGCAAGCTTACTCAGAATATCCAAATAAATAAATTTATTGGTGAAAATGAAAAATGTCTTTAATGGAAAAAACTAAATGGACTTTTAAAAAAAGATTTTATTTATTTATTTTAGAGGGAAGGGAAAGGAGGGAGAAAGAGAGGAAGAGAAACATGCCCCCAACTGGGGACCTGTCCCACAACCCAGGCATATGCCCAGATTGGGAATCAGTCGAACCAGCAACCCTCTAGTTCGCAAGCCGGCACTCAATCCACTGAGTCACACCAGCCAGAACTAAATGGTCTTTTTGACCAACCCAACAAGAACTGGATGTGGTGTTAGATGGATACTAGACTTAAGGGGGTGATCAATTCATTTAAGTGTCTAATCACCATGATGTACAACCAGAAACTAAAAAAATATTGCATATCATCTCTAATTGAAAAAATAAATTAACTTTAAAAAAGCTTGTCTGATTCTAAGTCCACATTCTCAATTCCTACCCATGCCAGCTGCATATCTGCTGCAATTTCAATGCTCTCTCACACTGTCAGCTGTTCCTTTTTACTGAGGTAATGCTCCTAAGTAGGCTTTCTGAATTTTCATTTTGCTATGGCCTAGGAAGAGAACCCAAAGGTCTTAAGACAGCGTCCTAATTTTACCTCCCAATCAAAATGGGTTTCAGCTATACATAAAGCTTCATTTATGCTGCTTGCTGTTTTAACTCCCAGGATGTGTTCTTCACAGACTGAGAAGGAGAATAAAAAGTTAAAATAATCCACTGCCAGTGGTGCCAAGCTTTGTGTATGAAGGGAAACACCAGGAGATGACTAGAAATGTACTCAAAGACAACTTTAAAGACTAACACTGCATCCATTATTGCAGTACCTATGTATTTATAATAAGATCTGAGTAAAAAATAGTGAAGTAATCCTTGATCAAATGCTACCTGTATTCTGTGAAATCTACTGTATCATTCTTTTTTTTAAATTTATTTTGGCTTTATTTTACTATATCTAAAAGCTCAACATCATTGTCCCAATGTTTATCTCTGCAATATATATATTTTTTTGGATTCTAAGAACTTTTATTGAGATCAGCTGTGGAGTGATTTCCAAGTTTATCTTCTTCAAGTACAGTTTTTTTGTCTATTTCTCCCATCCCAGCCTTCCCCGCCCCTTGCTCCCCACCTCCCTCCCATTTCCACCCCCCTTAGTTCTCGTCCCTGTGTCCTTCCAATTTGTTCCTCCAAATCCCTCCCCCTTTTTTCCCTTAAATTCCCTTCCCTCTCCCCTCTGGTTACTGTCCCCTTGTTCTCTATTTCAGTTTCTTTGTTTTTGTTTTTTTTTTCTGCTTGCTTGTTTGTTTTGTTGTTTAGCTTCCTGTTAAAGGTGAGATCATATGGTATTTGTCTTTCAACACCTGGCCTATTTCACTCAGCATAATGCTTTCCAGTTCCATCCATGCTGTTGCAAAGGGTAGTAGCTCCTTCTTTCTCTCTGCTGCATAGAATTCCATTGTGTATATATACCACAATTTTTTGATCCATACATTTACTGACGGGCACCTAGGTTGCTTCCAGCTCTTGGCTATTGTAAATTGTGCTGCTATGAACATTGTGGTGCATAGGTTCTTTGATATTTATGTTTTAGGATTCTTAAGATATAATCCTAGCAGTGGAATTGTTGGGTCAAAAGGCAGATCGATTTTTATTTTTCTGAGAAAATTCCATACTGTTTTTCATAATGGTTGTACCAGTCTGCAATCCCACCAACAGTGAACTAAGGACCCCTTTTCCCCACACCCTCTCCAACATTTGTTGTTTGTTGCTTTGTTTATGATAGCCATCCTGACCAGTGTAAAGTGGTATCTCATTGTGGTTTTAATTTGCATCTCTCTGAGAGCTAACAATATTGAGCATCTCTTCATGTGTCTCTGGATGTTCTGTATGTCCTCTTTAGAGAAGTGTCTGTTCAAGTCCTTTTCCCATTTTTTTAATTGGGTTAGATGTCTTCTTAGAGTGGAGTCGTGTAAGTTCTTCGTATATTTTGGAGATTAAACCTTTGTCTGAGGTATCATTGGCAAATATGTTTTCCCATACAGTTGGTTGTCTTGCTAATTTAATACTGTTTTCTTTAGCCACACAGAAGCTTTTTATTTTGATGAGATCCCATTTGTTTATTCTTTCCTTTATATTCCTTGTTCTAGGGGACATATCAGTAAAAAAGTTGCTGTGTGAAATATCTGAGTTTTTTTGCCAATGTTCTCCTCTAGGACTTTAATGGTGTCACGGCTTATATTTAAGTCTTTTATCCACCTTGAATTTATTTTGGTATATGATGTAAGTTGGTGCTCAAGTTTCATTTTTTTGCACGTTGCTGTCCAGTACTCCCAGCACCATTTGTTGAAGAGGCTATCTTTACTCCATTTTATGTTACTGCCCCCTTTGTCAAATATTAATTGACTGTAGAGAGTTGGGTTGATTTCTGGGCTCTCTGTTCTGTTCCATTGGTCTATGTGCCTGTTTTTATGCCAGTACCAGGCTGTTTTGATTACAGTGGCCTTGTAATACAGTTTGATATCAGGTATTGTGATCCCTCCTATTTTGTTCTTCTTTTTCAAAAGTGCAGCTGCTATTCTGGGTCGTTTATGGTTCCATATAAATTTTTGAAGTGTTTGTTCTATGTCTGTGAAATATGCCATTGGTACTTTAATAGGTATTGCATTGAATGTGTATATTGCTTTGGGTATTATGGACATTTTGATGATGTTAATTCTTCCAATCCATGAACAAGGTATGTTTCCATTTGTTTGTGACTTCCTTGATTTCTTTCTTCAGGGCTGTGTAGTTTTCTGCATACAGGTTTTTTTACCTCCTTAGTTAGGTTTATTCCCAGATATTTTATTTTTGTTTTTGCTATATCAAATGGGATTGTTTCCTTGATTTCTGCTTCTGCCGCTTCATTGTTGGTATACAAAAATGCCTTTGATTTCTGGATATTGACTTTGTAACCAGCTGTTTTGCCAAATTCATTAATTAGTTCGAGCAGTTTTTGGGTAGAGTCTGTACGATTTTCCATGTACACTATCATGTCATCTGCAAACAGTGACACTTTTGCTTCCTCCTTTCCTATTTGGATGCCTTTTATTTCCTTTTCTTGCCTGATCACTGTGGCTAAAACTTCCAATACTATATTGAATAGAAGTGGATTAAATGCTCCAACCAAAGAAAGAGAATAGCTCAATGGATACTGTATCATTCTTACAAGACTGAGAATCATTCTCAAATATTCTATGTGGGCTTCTGAAATGTACTGCTGACCAGTTCAATTTATAGTTTTTATGATTCTCCTATCTCCTGTGCTGGACACTGTCATTTCCCATTTTCATTTCTACTGGGCTTCCCACTTTTGCAACTTTTTTGATTTTTCATTTACAGTTGATGTAACAGTATTATATTGGTTTTACACAATCACACGATGATTAGACAGTTATATAACTGGACTTCCCACTTTTAATTTGCTATCTAAGCTGATCCAGAAACACCATTAAAAAGAGAATTTTTTGTACATAATTATTTACATCCAGTAGTAAATAATCTAGTGATGTCTGTAAAGCAGAATGTTTGAGATTCATCACATCTCAGTGAAGGAATTCTACTACTGCCTATCACGAAGTTGACATAAAGGACACTCCCTGTTATTTAAAACCAGGTCTCTTCTGTCCTTTTGTGAGTGGTAAAATATACACAACAAATTTACCATGTTAACCATGTTTAAGTTTACAATTCAGTGGCATTAAGAACATTCACACTGTTAAGCAACCATCGCCATTACCCATTTCTAGATTGTTTTCATCATCCCAAACTTAAACCCTGTAGCCACTGATTAAACAATAACTCCTATTCCTTCATACCTCCAGCACCTGGTAACTACTAGTCTATGAATTTGCATGTTCTAGTTATATTACATAAATGTAATTATACAATATTTGTCTTTTTGGGTCTGGCATAATGTTTTTAAAGTTCATTCATGTTGTAGCATCTTCCAGAATTTCATTCCTTTTTAAAGCTAAATATTCCACTGTATGTATATACCATTTTCTTGCTTATTCATTAATCTGTTGATGGGCACTTTGCCCATTTCCACATTTTGGTTATTGAAAATAATGCTGCTATGAACATGGCTTTCAGTCTTTAAATGTCAAGCTAGTGAAGGCCAACCTCAAATTGTGTGATGTAAAATATCATCACATACCACAGTAAAGAGTTTTCGCTGCAATGGTTGATACGATGTCACTTCCTTCAAAGTCCAAGAACAAGCCATGTTTGGTCTCTGCCCCATTCCACTGCAGGGTGCATCAAGAAGAATTCGGTCAAAAGATTCTGGTAAGAATGGAGGCTCTCCTGTAAACAGAATCATAAACATATCTGTATCTGTTGTATTGGTCTACAGTAAAAAAAAACCTCCTGAGACAGTAGCAATTATGAGGAATATAAAATCACAGTCTGGAACACAGAAGAACAATTCCTGCCTTCAATCAGGTACCCAGTGAAACTAATTCTGACTTATATTTAATACAAGGGGGGACCCCAAAAAAACCTGCCATTACCCTCTGGGGGGTGAGCCCCTTGTAGTACAGGCTTCCTCCACTAGGTGAGTGTTCTAGGAACCCATCTGTATCAGTGTGCCAGCTGGCATTGCTGTGAGAAGCTGCTTTCAGTTTCACTGAATTTTTTCTGAAGATGCAGTGCATTTGCTTACTTCATGGTCAGTGATTTACGAGTACACCTGACCATACCATGCTGAGTGTTCAGCAGCTGACCAAAAAAAGCATGACTTCTGTGCCCCACCCTCCTTATTCATCTGGAGTAACTTCATTTTGGGTTTACTCAGATGAAAAAAGTCCTGAAAAGGAAACGGTCTGCCAATGTGGAAGAGATGAAACAAAAAACAACACAAGCACTAAAAGGCATCAAAATTGATGACTTCAGCCCTGGCTGGTGTGGCTCAGTGGGTTGAACACCAGGCTGCAAATCAAAGGGTCACCAGTTTGATTCCCAGTCAGGGCACATGCCTTGGGGTGCAGACCAAGGCCCCAGTAGGGTGGGCATGAGAGGCGACTGCACACTGATCTTTCTCTCTTTCTTTCTCCTTCGCTTCTCCACTCTCTAAATATAAATAAAGATAAAAATCTTTTTAAAAATTTGATGAGTTCAAAAAACTATTTTTCAGTAATGGAAAAAAATGTCCTGATAGGTATATTACATCAAATGGAAAGTACTTCGAAGGTGACTGCAGTGTAAACATGTAAGAATATACAAATTTGTATAAATAAATTCCATTTTTTCAGGGGTCCCCATTCGTATTGGCCTGACTTTATAAAAAGGTTAAAAATGGAATTATCTCAATTGAGGATTATTCTGTTGATATCCAAACCAAGCCCAATCAAACAAGACATTGCATCGCCCATGTCAGAAGCCACAATGCACCAGAGCTGAGACCTAGAATGAGTTCGAGTTACTCTGAGAGCCAACAGTTCCTTTGGTGATCCCTACAGCAGACAGCCCCGGAAGAAGAGAACACCGGCCAGGTTCTACTCCAACATACTAATGCTGTGCTTCTCAGTCTCCTCAGTTCTTGTGCCTTCAGCAAGGCCATGTTCTACAGCAAGCTGACAGCCCCCTGGGTCCAATCTCCCACAGGTTTCCCTTTGTATTCACTTAAGTAATTTCGTCCACTCCAACTTCTGATATATTTAGTGTCACTGGAGGACGTCATGGAAGAAAACAGTCTGCTTATATATATTTATGCTAGCTGCTAGCAACACTCTGCTGACTGCTTTTACACAAAGCTGCTTGATCTCCTACAGCACCCACAGCGTCGTTCTGAACCTCACACCAACATAACCTTCTGCTTTTCTGACTGCAAAACTGTCAGACACAAGCTCTTATGGATTTAACTCATCTCCATCTATAACCATCCTTGCTTTTCTATTTACTGTCTTAGAAGAAATATCTTTCCAAAGTAAACACCCTGGCTGGTGTAGCTCAGTGGATTGAGCACGGGCCTGTGAACCAAAAGATCACGGTTCGATTTCCAGTCAGGGCACACGCCTGGGTTGCAGGCCAGTTCTCAGCAGGGCACGCATGAGAAGCAACCACACATTGACATTTCGCTCCCTCTTCCCTTCCCTTTTCTTCCCTTCTAAAAATAAATAAATAAAAATTATAAAATAAAATTATTAAAAAAACAAAGTAAACAATTATTTTGAAGGTTTACACACTGATGAACGTCCTCTAGAAAGACTGTACAAATTTACACTTCCATTATCATCAGTATATTTGGCTTCCCAAAATCCTCATCAAAGTCGACAGTTATTCATTGGCCATTTGTATTTTTTCTTTATATGGTCACATTCTTTGTTTCTGCCCTTTTTTGACAGAGAATATTTTATTGTCCTTATTAATTAGAAGAGCTTTTTGTATATTAAGGATATTAATCCCTCCTCTATTAAATATTTTCCAAATGTTTCCCTCCAAATGTCATTTTCCTAAGTTTCTGAATTATATTTATACATGTAATTGCTGAATATTAAAAATGTCCTTTTCTTGTTGAGTTTTACCTTCACTTTCATGCTTTAAAATCTCCATTGGTGCAATCAGATAAATGTCCATCTTTACCTGCTTCTAGCTACTTTCAGTTAAATTATTTACAAAAGTTCAGTTAAATTATTTACTTTTGTGTAGCACTTTCCCCATCTAAAATAATTTGTTTTGTAACTATTAACTAATTCTTTCTGCTAGGTTTGGAATGCTTCTTTCATTATATAGTACATTATTACATGATTGAGACCCATTTCAAGGGCTTTTGTTTTGCCCCAAATATGCTGGTTATTAATCTATATTTTCTGAGCTCCAAATCTACCCACCCATCCTCTGATGTAGTGCTGAGGGGGCACCTCTGAACAGCTCTCCCTTGCTTTCTGGCTTCCTTTCATGATCCACCAATGGGAGATAGAGAAATAATGAGGGTTGAAGAGATGAGAGACAAGAGGTGGACAGAATGGACTTTCTCATTCCTGTCTGCTTGCTGCTTCTGTCAAAAGCACCCCAACAACAGCCCTTTACCTTGGCAGCTGCAGTTTCTAACTTCTTCTATTAAGTATCAGTATGAAGGGGACAGAGCCCTCTCCCTCAGAGGCCTACGCCCCAGCTCCATGACACTGCCTGCGTTGAACCCTAAGGAAAGAGCAGCAGCTGGGGAGCACTCACTTCCTTAGTTTCGAATTCCAGTTCCACGGAGCCTCTTCCCTAAGCTTTTTGGTTCTTATAGGCAAATCTCCTCCTTTTGTTTCTCCTGCTACAAGAATAGAAGCTACTTTCTGCAGTCATTACCTCTAGGATGCCAAATTATCTCTTTTTGCTTTTTCAGCTCTCCAACATTTATTTATTTAGCTGTTTCCTTATACTGTTTATTTGTACTAAATTGTGTCTCATTAGTATAAATTCATACTAAATTCTCTCTACTGAAATATGTTGTACAGTTTTATTTTGAATCCTATGCCCAGATGGAATCCCCTAAAACACAGCTCTAAACAAGTTATTCACTCCCCTGACATAATAAAACCCAAAATTATTAGTTTCACAGCTACCTACCACTATGACATAAACTTCTTAGATTAACAAAGGCCATTAAAAATAGGGCCTCATCTACTTCTCCAGCCACATTCTCTGTACTTCCCCATACTTACCAACATTAAAAACAGAGCAAAACGGAATATTGCTTTGTTACCAAAGACGCATGAATGCTCCTATGTGCATGCCTCTGCTAATTCTCTTTACCTGAGATGTCTCCTGCACTCATTTCCATTTGTCAAAATACTACCTACCCTTTTTAAGGCCCAACGGATGCTACTTCCTCCTCTAAACTTTTTCCAATGTCCCTATGAGAAACAGGCACTCTCTCTGACTTCCCATAGTACTTAATATCTTTTAGATGTCTAGTCTTAGAACATAGACGATAGTGGTCATATCTTATTCCCACCCCACCCCCCACCGAAGCACTGAAAAATCCTTAGAAACCAGGAAATGTGCAAGGCCACAAGATACTTTCATGTGAACTACAAGTAAGAAATCCCTACCTCTACAATAACACAGCCCTATACATGATGAAGAGAGCATGGGCTATATCTCAGCCCCCCCCCCACTAATACTTGTAAATCTCGTGGCTAATAAGGAACTAGTACCCAGAATAAATACAGAACTCTTACAATTCAATAATAAAAAGACAACTAACTCACTTAACAAATGGGCAAGGGATAAATAAACACATTGCAAAAATGCCCAACATTATTAGTCATCAGGGAAATGCAAATCCAAACAACCGGCTACCACTTCACGCACCTACCAAAATGGCTATATCAAAAAGACTGATAATAACAAGTGCCAATGAGAATGTGGAGAATTGGAACCCTCAGACACTGCTGGTAGAAACGTAAAATGGCGCAGCTGCTTTTTAAAAGTCTGGCAGTTCTGCAAAAGGTTAAACAGAGTTACCATATAATTCAGCAATTTCACTCCTAGATATATACTCAACACAAATGAGACACATGTCCACACAAATGTGGACACAAAACCTACACACAAATGTCCATAGCAACATTATTAATAAGAGCCAAAAAGAGGAAATACCCAAATGTCTATCAACTAATGGATGGATAAATGAAATGTAGCATTATCCTTATACTACATTATTTATATATAAAAAGGAATGAAGTACTAATGCATGCTATAACATAAATAAACCTTAATGTTTTTCTTATAAATCACATCACATTCCCGCTTTCGGGTCTTGCCCTTCAATTGATTGGCAGTGTAGTCTGCTGGTCCTGGTCCCTCCCACCTCGAAAGAACTGGAAAAGCTGTTTTGAACCCAGAGATGAAAACTCCAGCCCTGGATATCTACTTCTACTTGTTAAGTGAGACAAAAATACACAACAAAAACAAACAAACAAGCAGAACACACTTCTATCTTTTCTAAACCACTGCATTCTGGGTCTCTCGGGCATGGTCCCTCAGCCTAGTCTCTAATATAAATCTCCTGCAAACCTCTGGCTAACCATTTGGGGTTGACAATCAACTGAAGGTGACATTCTGTTCTCAGGAAATCAGTCTGACCTGTTCTTACAGAAGGCAAATAACAGCCTAGACACTGTTCCCCAGAAGAAGCCCTAGTTTTCTAAGAAGAATTCCATTTGTTTCATTTGTTTGTTTGCTTTTTAAATCACATCTGGTTACTATACAGTAGATAGATATTGCAAAATAATTTCTCACTTTTTATGAGTTTCAAAATATGTTGATTTTCACATAACTACTGACACATTTTCTATCAAACCAATTGGGTCTACTGTCTGACATTCATAAGCTTAACATGCTAAATCTAACTACCAGAGAATATCTGTTATTAAATAAGTCTTGATAAAAAAATAGCAAAAATAAAGTGATGTGTATGAGTGAAAAACCAATGACTGTATATCCCAAGTTAGTTAACGGATTATTTCAGTGTAGCACTGAAGACTGACCTCTGAGATCACTATCCCTATATATTGATTTTTCTTACCCTAATCCCAACCTACTATGCTTGTGAATATGATCACTTTATGTCAAGTCACAGGTACATAAAAACTGGTGACCTAACAACAATTTTAGTGAAGTGATGGTGATGGACTATATTGAACTGTCTACTATCTACTAGTTATTTTTATGAACAACACCTAAAATACAGGCCAACTACAAAGTTAGAAGGAGTATTTTTCCCCACAGTATTCAAGAGAAAAACCACAGCCCAGTCCAAAAATAGCATTACTCGGTGCTAAAAGCTCACGATACCAAAACCTAGATTTAATACCCAATTTAGTTGCAGTTTCAACATTTTCCAGGAACATCTTTCTGGTCAAGGTAACCTGTCACTGTGGGTGCTCTACATCCCCCAGAGAAAGAAGAAGCCTAATTGATAAAAAACCGATCCCCTTCTCTTCCCAGAAAGAGAAAAAACAGGTGTCCTGCACCCAAAAATAATCCTTTTCAAAAAAACTTTGTTAATAGCTCTCTGGCCCCACCCTTCTTCGTATAAAAATGTTCCACTTGGTCTAGCTGCTGGGAGCAGCTTCCGGTTGCTGGGTGGCATGCTGTCCAGTTCATGAATTGGCTTAATAAAGCCAATTAGACCTTCAAATTTACACCTTGAATTCTGTTAACAACGGCAATCCAGATGAACTGTTAAAGGGTGGAAAATCTAAGACCACATGTGCAGCTTTTAAAAAGTCATTAGTTCACTAAAATATGCATGTTTCTCCAGTATGTCATGAAATCAAATCTAAACAAAGAGACAGAGAAAGAAAAACAGAGACAGAGTGAAAAACTGTTACATTTAGTAATGTAATAAATGTAACAGTTAATGTAATTAATGTATTTAATATACATTAAATACATGTAATGTAACAGTTAATGTAATTAATTACATTAATTTTCCTCCCTTCTCAGGTCCACAGTCCCATTCTTCAAGAAAAACGAGGAAAGAACACAAAATAACTTAGGAATCATAAAACTGAAAATTTCAGAAGCTTTCTGAGTTGCAATATGAAATTAAAACAAGAATATCAAGTATAAAGAGTTTGGTCAAGTCTTGGGGGTTTGACTTACATTAATAAAGACTTGATATTCAGGGATGAGATGAAAAGCAAAAAATATATGTATTGCAGCAAAATGTCTTAGATCTATGTCAAAGTTTCAAGGCCTAGATATTTTGGGGCTAGAAAAATGACAGCAAAACCTACTTGTGTGTAACAGATAAAATTTAACTCACCTTTTGTGTCCTCAACCACATCCAGTTTAAGTGCCTTTGTTCCATCAAAGCAAAAAGCCCTGATGGAATTCAGCCCTAATAATAAAGCATTCTGCTTTATTTTTTCCACTTTGTTGGATATTTTGTCCAGTGCTATCACTTCTCCCTAAACAAACAGAATACATAAAGTGTAAATACAAAGCAATAGTGAAAATTATTAAAAACTAAGAAGACTATGAAAACTTATGGTCTTCCCCACTTTCCTCATACCCCTAGTTTTAAAGTTGAATTCATTAATCAAATGTATATGGAATTTATATTAAATACTTATTAAGTCTTTCTTTTAAAAAAACAAAATCTTCTTGCCAGATAACTTTCTTGTAACACCCAACTACTTTTAATTAACTAAACTCAAAACCAAAAATAGTGTTTGCAATCCTTTAAAGAAACTTAAGAACATCCACTGGAGTCAAACATTAAAAATCACCAATTTGATGCACCTTGTTCACCTTGGGAGGAGCGCGATCTAATGTCCTGAGACATCTGCCTCCTGGTGCTTTAAAATACAGATAAATATCACTCACAAAATCAATCCTTATCTCACTATTCTCTAAGCTACACACATAAAATTCATGTGAATTCTGACAACTAAAGACAGAAAAGTATTAAGTGTATATCACACAGCAAAATGTTCCAGACTGGTATAAAATGTAGTTCAAAAATAATTTTAAATGCTAATACTTCAGTTAAGTCAAAACTGATAAAAATAAGAAGTCCTTTTAACAGATGTATTGTGATATTCATAGGGTATTTTAAAACACATTATGAAATGGTGTTGGGAGATGGCGAAATTAACCCTTCCCTGTATTTCCTTGCTTTCCTCCCTTTCCACACAGTGCCCTTGCACGATACATGCATCAACTGCATGTTCAGTTCCCCACATACCCTCATCCTTCACCATCACTTTGCAGTGCCCTGCCATTCGGACTCAGGCACAGCGATGGGACTTGCATTGGCTAATGGGATGAGAGTAAATGTGATGCAAAGAGAGAAATGAAAAGCACTTGCCTCCTTTGCTCTCAGCCAAGGCTAATCCTCAATGTTTTCCCTCAGCTCAGCTAGCCTCGGGTTCCTAGGAGCAGGGTAAGAAATACATGGACCAGAGGGAGGGCACCCTAGTGGTCTCAGCTCAGGTCACTTTAGATAAGCCAACGTCAACCAAAACCAAGTGAATGAGCCCACCCAAGATCATCAGAACCCCCAGCACTGTGGATAAGGGGTACAGGCAAGCCTGGCAGAGACTGGCTGAACCCCAGACTCCAGGGCTGAGTACGAGTTTGGTTATATGATGCAAAGGCTTTGTGGTTGTTTTCATGTGGCAGTAGAAAACCAAGATAATACAGGAACAATGATGATATCCAGACTCTATTCGGAAAGACTTCTTACTAGAGAGAATAAAATTTCTATGAAGAAATCTCTAAGCAAACACAGTAAATATGATGTTACAAATGAAAGGGGACAAAAATTATCTTTTTTGCAAGAGAGTACATGTGTGCACATATACGAGGGGGGACCCCCAAAAAGGAATTATCTTCTGGAGGGCAGGCTTCCCCCATTAGGGAAGTGTTCTAGGAACCCATCTGCATTAGTGTACTAGATGGTGTTGCTGTGAGAGGCTGTGTTTGGCTTCAGTGGATTTTGTTTGAAGACTCAACACATCTGCCCATTTCATGATGGGGGATTCACAAGTGCACCTGCCCACCCTGTGCTGAGTGTTCAGCAGTTTTTCACCAAACGCAGCATGACCCCTGTGCCTCACCCTCCCTATTCACCCCATCTTGCTCCAAAGGACGTTTTTGTGTCCCAGATGAAAAAAGTCCTTAAAGTAAAACATTTTGCCAATGTGGAAGAGGTGAAACAAAAAATGGCACAAACACTAAAAGGCATCAAAACTGACGAGTTCAAAAACTGTTTTGAGCAGTGGAAAATAAGTCTCAACATGGGTACTGCATCAAAACCCTCACCAACATTTCTCTCCCTCTCTCCTTCCCTTCCCCTATAAAGATAAATAAATAAAATATTTTTAAAAAAATGGAGAGCATTTTGAAGGTGACTGAAGTTTAAACATGTAAGGATAAATATACAACCTTTCATAAATAAATTCCAGGATTTGGGGGGTCTCCCCTCATATGTACACAGACAATACATACATACAGTGCTCACGTACTTGTATATTCAGAGCACATGTATCCAAACACACACATAGTGCCCAGACAGATTTACCCTTTAGTGACTTTGGTAAAAATATATTTTCATACTTATATAGTTTTATCCCCTTGCTGTGACATTTTAATGTTTCAGAATGGTGTTAAAGTTAAATACTAATGTGTAAGTACAGGGTGGGGAAAAAGTAGTTTTACAGTTGTGTGTACGTGAAACAATTTATTATTGTATTATTTATCATTATTGTTATTTTACACACAAACAACTGTAAATCTACTTCTGCCCCATCTTGTGTGTGAATTTTCATCAGAAGTCTTCATGAGTAATTAAATTTTGCACTAATGAAAGAGAAAAGCTACAATTTCATCTTGACCTAATAAATGTTCCTACTATTTTCTGTGGAACATTGCTGTAAATCATTTCATCATCCAAAGAATAATTGGATACACATCAAAAATGGGTCAACTTCTGGTCAAGAATGGGAAATATGTAAATGTTCCCCTCCTCCCACGACAAAATTCTATAAATGCATCAGCAAATCTGGAATTCAAGAAGGCCTTGAGGTCATTCTTCACAAGTGGTGATTGTTTACCGACTGACATCACGGAACAGTCTTCCCTCTGGCTGCACCTGACATAGACCAGATCATGAATGCCTGTATAATGTTTCCTAAGTCACACATAGTTCCGCAGTCATCACTGAAACGTGGGACACATCGGCAGTTTACACATCGGCAGTTTGCCTGTGAACACAGTCTCACCTCATCGTGCATCAGTGCTGCGATGTGCGTTGTTTTGCCTCCAGGTGCTGCACACAAATCTAGAATCTTCTCTCCAGGTTGAGGGTCCAGAACGTGAGCTACTACAGCAGATGGCAAATTCTATAAAGGAAAAAAGTCAATTATCAATGATTCTAAATCAATGTAAATCTCAGCATCAGAGAACGTAAAGAAACCTTTGGAGGTAATCCAGTACGGCATCTTCTGCCAAGAGAACACTTTTTGTAACTTAAATGGTGTCAGGAAATCCTCCATTTCCTACAGTATCCTATAATCTCATAGGACATTGACACATACAGTGCATTTCTGCAATCAACCCAGCAATGAAGGCATACTGTCCTATTTTATTGTATTTTTTCCACCACCGTTTATCCCCCTCATACCCTTTTCCCCCTTTACCCACGCCCCCTCCCTTCTCATTTCAGTGGTTCTCAATATTTTGGAGGCCAGAGATCGCATAGAAATATGAGAAGGCTCTGGATCTTTTCCCCAGAAAATGCATAAAAACTTGCAATTTCAGGTGCTTCATCATCTAACTCCCAACTAAAATTCCCAGTTTTAAGTTGCTAATGCCACTGAGAGGCACATTTGGGTTCCTATCTTCCCCCTTCTACCCTATTTTGGTAGAAGAAAAACAAAGTGTAAAAAAGTCTTAGCCATTTCTGATAGACATCTGGAAATACATGAGATTCTACAACCCCAATATACCTCTGCCTACAGCAGTAAGTTATATTAAATCACTATTAGTATTACTTACATACAAACAGTTACTACAGGATGCCAACTTTAAATAATAGAGAATAATAACACAAAATTATATATTTTAAAAAACTGGGAAAAAAAAGTAAAGATTAACAAGCACAGGGCTATTTAAAGGCTTCAATTCATTCTTACAGCAAAACATTTACATCTCAAGAACTGTGAGAAGATTACAACTCTCTCAGGTGAATCCAAGATGACCAGTCCAAAACATCGATGGTGAGAAAGGAGACACCCACAAACCAACTGTGCCCGTCCCTGGATACAGGAAGCAGTCGAGTCCATGGGAACAACCGAGGGACCTGGAAAGCAATCCCTCAACTGTAAACACAAGAACAGCCTCACCTGTCAGAAATAGTTCCTCTCAATAGTCTGGTCTATTAATTTTTTTAAATTAAACTCTAATATGAACTACTAAAACATATTTGTAGCTAATAGGAATTCTTGATCTAGAGACTGGTTATGCTTAACTTCTAATAGAGATACGATTAATATATTGGTCAAAGATGACAGAAACTTTTACTGAAATGTAAGTAGCACGTTAAAATCCTTCTGGTCCTGCAATAAGTAAAAATTATAAAATGGTCTAGGCAAAGATGCTTTGCTAAGTATATAAGTGATGACAGTTTCTTTCCAACCAATTTAGTCTACTACCTTTCTCTGCAGTATTTCTCAATCCTGGCTACACAAGAGAATCACTTACCGAGGTGTTTTTAAATGCTCAGAGACAAAACAATGATAAAATTCATATGGGACCACAGAAGTCCCTGAATAGCAAAAGCAATATTTAGAAAGAAGAACAAAGGCCGAGGCACCACACTCTCAGATTTCAAACTCTATTACAAAGTTTCAGTGGTTCAAACAATGTTACTGGCATAAAAACAGGCACAGAAGAATGAAACAGAATAGAGCCCAGAAATAAATTCACAGGTACAAGACAAAGGAGCCAAGAACACACAATAGGGAAAGGACAGTCTCTTCAATAAGTGGTTTTGGGAACACTGAACAGACACATGTAGAAGAATGAAACTGGACCACTATCTTACACCATATACAAAACTAAACTCAAAATGGATCAAAGACTCCAATGCAAGACTGTAAACCATAAAACTCCTAGAAGAAAACAAGGACAGTAAGCTCCCTGACATAGGTCATGGCAATGACTTTTTTTTTGAAACTGACACCCAAAATAAAAGCAACAGAAGAAAGATAAGTGAGACTACATCAAACTGAGAAGCTTCTGGAGATTCCCAGTCAAGATGACAGAGTAGGTGAACACTGTGTTCACCTCCTCCCACATCGAAATTACAACTAACTTATGGAACAACTCTCTGAGGATTAGCTAAACAGAATCCCCATGACTGAGATGAAGGCACACTGAGACTGGCAGGAGGAGAGGAGAGACTGCAACAGGCTGGTCCCATGTCCATGTATATGGATAAAAACTGGGAGGGATATCTCAGCTTTGGAGGTTTCCTCTGAGGAGTGAGGGGTCCCCAGCCCCACATCAGGCTCCCAGCCCAGGTGTCCAGTGCCAGGAAGAGAAGTCACCATAACTCCTGGCTGTGCAAACCAGTGGGATTGTGGCTGAGGGAGAGGAAGGGCTCTGGAGTCTCAGATAATACAGATCTTAAAGGGCCAGCACACAGACTCACTCACAAACTCACTTAGTCTAAGCCCCAGTGCAGAGGCAGCAGTTAGAAAAGCACCAGGGATGTATGGAGAGGAACCGAACTGCCTGGCTTCAGGGCAAGGGCTGGAGGGACAGCTCTGTCTGGGAATGCAGTGGTGGCGGGCACAACTGTTCCTTTTAAGCCCTCCCCTGATGCAATCAGCAAGTACAAGCTGAAGTGCTGGCAGGTGCCTTGCTCCTTTGTTGACCCCTTCTCCCACCCAGCCACAAAGCAAAGCAGGCTGCAAATCTGAAGGATCCATTGACTTCGGAAACACCTTTGATCTTCAGTATCTTCTTCTTATACTGGGAGTAATAATAATAATAATAATAGTGATAATAATGCCACCTAACCAAATTGTAGCAAATCAGTTAATGTACACACAAGTACTTATAAACCAAACAAGGCAGATCAAATTACGTGTTATAACATCACAATTAATGACCATCTGACAAAAATCTTAGTAGTAAACCATTTAAATCTTACTCAAAGTTACCAATGAACACACACACACACACACACATATATATCACAAATGCACGTATTATTTACAGATTAACATTTTGAGATGGAAAGCAAGAATTATAAAAAGCTTTATATTAAAGCACATGGGCAAAAAGGGTAAAAAGGCAGTCAATCAGTTGATGAGGAAAAAAGGATGCTCACAAAGTTGTTTCTTACTGCTTAACCAAAGCTGGACCAGAAAATTTATAAATAGACCACAAAAATATGTTAATAGAAGTATAAAAAAACACACTTAAATTTCAAATAATTCACTGTAGTATGTTGCAATGTTAGTAAATATTTTACTTTTACAATTACCTGTAAAAATAAGTAGCTGGGCAGTACATTGTCAAATGAAGGGCTGAGATATAATGGTTCTGTCATTCGTATGCCTATACCTCTGAAAAGTAGGAAATCTAATGTTAATCTGGATGAATTACATTGTGTACACAAACTCCATTTCTAAGAACAAACACAACATACTCAACACCAAAATCGTTAGAACATCCAGTGCATTGTTTCTGAATGTTTACCTGCAGTAAGAGGCCATCAGGGCACCTCAAAAGGGTAAATTTACATCAACGTTCACATGGGTACAAGTAAGCAGAATAAAAAGCAAAGAACGCCTCGTACCCCACCCCTCTGACAGTCTGCTTCGCACCTCACCGACTAGCACAAGCCTATCCAACTGTATAGTATTCAACTTAACACCACAAAGAATAATTTAAACCAATTACTGCTCAGGTATGGAATTACATGTTTCTTTTGAAACTGTTTTTGTAATCTGTATCTCCACATAATAAACAAAGTACAAGATCTCCTAGGATAAGCAGTCTGTTACTAACTTAGTCTACTTTTATGAGTCTATGAATGATTCCACTCAGCTGGAATTCCAGAAACCAAGGCTGCAGATTTATTAGGTGAATACTAGTAGAATTGGTTCTAAAATTTTTTAAAGAATATAATTAAGAAACAGGGTGTATATGTAACATTTCTTTCTTATAGAAGCATGCTTTATTTCACATAGGCAGAAAAAGAAATCATAACAGCATAACTGACATTAGGTTTAAAAACTGAATTTAAAAAGCAATAGTTTTAAAGATAGCTGCTTCTTACTCCAGCCAACCAAAAAAAAACATTATTCTAAAAAGACATTTTGCAGTTACTAGAACTACCACATCAAATGCGATATGAGGATAAAGAATGTACTACCTATAATGAACTATGAGACAGTTAAAATATCAATCTCCTATTAGCCAAAAATAAATACAGATCTATGCTTTATCTTCATATTCATAAAGCCATGTAAGGAGAACAAATCTTTGTTCTTGATCATTTGGAAAGTTCTACTAACCACCACTAGGAAATTCAATAACCTGGTTCCTCAGGAGAATTAATTTCAACTATAAACCCACATTGTTATAACACGAAAATCTACTCCAGGAGTCAGAGGTGTGGTCCAGTCCTATGTGGGGAAGGAAGAAACTTCCCTCTCTCCTCCTAGACTCTTAGGGCTGGTCTAATCATTAAATCTACATGAGACATTAGATTAATAAGAGAAAATAACCAAATTTAATGATACATGTATGTACAGGAATCCACACACAAGAGAATCAGAGACTCCACACACATGAAAGGTTCAGACACAGGAAGAGAAAATTAGTTGTACCAGGTCTGTCCAGAAAAAGTCTAGCCATTGCTAATAAATGATAATGTTTGCACAACATTGATATAACCTGGCAGCCAAGGAGAGTGGACTGGAATGCACATGTGTAAACAATGAGGACGTCACTGTACTAGTCAGTGGAGGCCGTAGATGCCATTGAGTGAGCGTGTGTACTGTGTGGCTGTCACATTCAAAATGACTGAGTAGAGCAATGAATCTGCATCAAATTTTGCATTAAGCTTGAACATTCCTCCATGGAAACTATTCAGATGCTTCAGAAGGCTGCAGCTATGGGTAACTGCTGACTGGCAGCTTCATCACAACACACCCACTCATGCATCACATTTTGTGCAGAGTTTCCGGTGAAATATCAAATCACCCAGGTGACTCAGCTGCCATACAGCCCAGATTTGGCACCCTTTGACTTCTGGCTTTTCTCAAAACTAAAATCATCTTTGAAAGGGAAGAGATTTCAGACCTGGCTGGTGTGGCTGAGCACAGGCCTGCAAACCGAAGGGTTACTGGTTCGATTACCTGTCTAGGCCACATGCCTGGGCTGTGGGCAAGGTCCCCCGTAGGGGCTGTGGGAGAGGCGACCACACAATGATGTTTCTCTCACTCTCTTTCTCCCTCCATTCCCCTCTGTCTAAAATGAAAATTTTTTTTAAATCTTTAAAAAAAAGAATGAGAAGAGATTTCAGGCCATCGATGAGATTCAGGCAAATATGACAGGGCGCCTGGTGGTGATTGGGAGAACTGTGTGAGGTCCCAACCTGCCTCCTTTGAAGAGGACTGAGGCATCATTGTCCTATGCACACTGTGGACAATGAAACACTTTTCTTGTATCTTGTATGTTCTTCAATAAACGTCTCATTGTCATAGTACATGGATGGATACTTTCTGGGCAGACCTGGTACATGACATTCTGAGCTAAGGATGAGGTAAGGCATCCTGGGCCCTCAGAGGGGAGGAAAGTCATTCTCAGAACAATCACAGGGCAATAAGAAGGGCACATATTCACTAATCAGGTCTTTGCCTTGCTCTATAGATACGTCGAAAAAAGTTATTTCTTTTGTCCCCGCAATAAGGGTGTTGTCCCTTATTGCGGAGAAGGCCCCTAATTTAAATTCATGAAGGGAGAGGTGAAAGCTTCTCAGGAGCCTGGAGGGTCCCAACTGCCGTTAGCTCCAAATTACTCACACACCACAGCGGAGCCTCCCGAGGAGCCCCGTGGGGACCGCTTCACCTGGACGGAGCAATGCGCAGCTTTCGCACGTCTGCAACGGCTGCCAGCTCTAGACAAGTGCAGCTGTGCAGAGAACTCCTACAACCAGGCTGAAAATACTAAGCAAAATGACAATTTGAGTTGTCCGTGGCCTTATTTTATTTAGAGTCAGTAACAACCAGAGATGATTTAAAACTTAGCTGTATTTTAATTTAGTCTGAGTAAATCCAAACATTAATGTTTGACCATAAGTATTCAAGTGAGTGCTGGCTTTCTGGTAAAATGTATTTTTGATTAAAATTGTTTTCTTTTATTATTTCTTTTATTATGTATATTAAACTCACAGGTTTTTTCTTTCACCAGACCAGAATGTTTGGTGAAAAAGATCTGGATAGGGCCCTGGCCAGATAGCTCAGTTGGTTATAGTGTTGTCCCAATAAGCCACGGCTGGGGGTTTGATCCCCAGTCAGGGCACATACGAGAAACAACCAATGAGTGCAACAATAAGTGGAACAACAAACTGATCTCTCTCTCTCTCCCTCCCTTCCTCTCTCTCTCTAAAATCAATTTTTTAAAAATTTCTTAAAAGAAAGAAAAAAGATCTGACTAGGTTCATGTAAATAATCCTTTATCAAGATAAGTATTGCTCTCCAAAGATGAAACATTTCAGATCAATAAAATTATTTAAATTATAGTGAGACTAGCTGATTACTTAAAACTCTTTTAATCTGAGCATTCATTCTGCCCAGATTAAAGCACTTAGCAGCACATTTTTTCTAAAAAACATTGAAAATATGGATTTAATTTTCCAGTTCAATTTATACAAAAAAAATTCTTCATATAAAGTTACTAGACAGTATTTTTACATTGTTTTTTTTTTTTCCTTGAAACACGAAATATGCTTACTTCTCCCAAACAACACTTGATAACATACTTCAATGCAGGTGGCCCACTAAAGATTTCTTTGCGGCTTAATTCAGAAATCCCATTTCCAAGAAATACTTTTGTTCCATCGAATTCTTTGGCTCCTTTCTTACATTTGCCTTTAATATCAGAGTATACAGAAACAACATCTCCGGCCTTCATAACTAGAGAGAGAAGGAAATCATAATGTAACCATTTATACTTCGATAGAAGAACAGCTAAACCTCTTTGAGCTGCACTGGGGACCCAGGGACGTCAACAGTGGGCCTGAGGCGGCCTAAACCAGCTCGTGCTCTCAGTGTGACCCTAATAGAAAACACGCTTTCTACTTTTAAATGTCCCTAACAATGAAGCTAATAGAAGATTCTTTTTCTAGGAAAACAAGGAAATGAAGTCACCTTCAAAATATCCTACCTCAGTCTGAAGTCTTTAGCTAAGCAGAAAAGGAAAGATATCTTTTAATTTAAATTATTTTCCCCAAACCTAACATTTCCTAAGAGACTTCATTTAAATTTTGGTATTTTGGCTCCTTCCTCACATTTCTAAGTTTTCTTCAAAAGGATTCTTAAAAACACATTCAAATTCCTCAAAGGAATCTTTACAAATCCCATAACACGATTGGTATTTCTTCATTTTTCCTGTTATAGCAATTAAGGCAGATTTTAATAAGCACATACATTCATTTATACATGTATATGTACTTAAGAATACCTTGAAACTGTGCAGTGTACAGATTTGATTTACATGGCTGATAAAATCTAGTTTTGTAATCCTTTCATTAAATTATTTTCAGTAAAAACAAAACAAAAAAATATTAACAATGGAAAATTGTGTTCCACTTCCAAAGAACACCTAACCTATTATAAATCTGTCTAGCCCATTAACTTGACATTGGAAGTGAGAAGCCTACCAGCTGCATGGCTAGGACTGCTCAGATCACAGAGATAGGGGACAATGAACTTTCTGTGGAAAGGACAAGCAATGTGTCTGGCTTTGTGAGCCACATTAAATCTCTTGACGTATCCTTCTTTGTATTATTCTTTACAACCCTCTGTACTTACATTTTGAAGCTGACACAATTCCTGGAACATAGACATGGGCTCCTCTTAACACGGCATTGCCACAGTGGGCTCCAACAATGGCTTCACACCGTTGTTTTCTTATATTCTTCCTGGGGTTTAAGACGAGAGGAATGTAACACAGTAATATACATCCGACATGCACCAACCCTTTCAAAGTTTCACCTTACACCCCAAATGACCTCTTTAGTCCTGACTGCCCCCAAATAATGCCATTAATGAATGAATAAGAAAGAGAAAGCTGAAAATAGACTATTAAGAAAATAGTTTTTTTTTTAACAAGATGGGCATTTGAGAAAAGAAAAGTAGAAAAAGGTCCATCTGATAGAAGACAATAACGTGGCACCAAAAATTGCTTAATCATTTAACAAACATTGCTGTTTTTATAATAGCATTACAAGAGAAATAAAGTCCACCTTCAACGACAAAACCAGACAATATACAAGGAATTTGAAACATTTCTAAAGTGCTGGATTGTTGCAAGGGAAATCATTACTATTTTAAACTGATGGACAATTTTGCCCAAGTTGTTTTTTAATGTTTTCCAGTTTCTCACCTCTAATTTATTCCTTAGATTATTAAAATCTAAGTATCATTTCTAACACTCAGAAAGACTTCTTCAAAGGTCAGGAGGCATCGCTGCGATCAGCCCAGTACAATCTTGAGCACTGAGTCTCCAATGAGCCTCCCTGGTTGGCAGCACTTCACGAGTTGTCACGACTCCTTGCTGACATGTGTCCCATCTTCTTTCCATGATCTCCACAGGACCAAATCTCACTAAACTTAGCTTTCTACTACTCTTTCCTGGTCCCATTCATTCTCATTGCTCGTGCTCTATTTCTTAATGAGTTTCAACCCCCAAGTTCCAAAACATGCTGCCACCTGCTCTCACTCTGCATCATATCCCTCAGCAATCTCACAGCTTTAATAATCACTTACAAAAATAATCGATGAATTGCAATGTTTAGCCTTTTTAAATGCTGAATTGTGATTTCTAATGACCTGCAAGTATCTATATCTGGTGTCTCCCAGCTACTTCAAACTCCACAAGTCCTCAGCGATGTTATTTTTCTCTAATCCACACTGCAAAGCCTTGGCAAAACCCCAAATCTTCTCATCCTCCTGTTTCCAATCTTGAATGGTATCCTTATCTAACTGATCATCTAGAAACCTCAGCATCAACTTAAATCTCTTCTTCCTAAACCTGTTCACTCGACATACACTGCATCATCAAACTGTGCCACCTGCAATTCTCCGACAGGTCTTCTGGGCCCACTTCATGACATCACATGTACATCTCTTAACCTGTTACTGAGCAGGTCCCTGCCTTTGACCTTCCATTGCTTTCAGGTGTCCTTTACGTCTTTGGTGTTCTGCAGTTTCACTGTGCAGTATCTAGACATGGAATTACTTTTTCACTTTTGGCTTCAGGCTCAGAGTACTTCCTAAATTTGTTTTTTATCAATTCGGGAAAATTTTTAGTCATTACATTTTCAAATATTGTCTTACCTCCATTTTTTTCCTACTCTCTAGATCTGGGACACATTAGAAATATGACGTGCCTTCCTCATTCTATTTTCCATGACTCACCTTTACATTTTCAATTTCTTTATCTGTCTCCGCTGTATTCTAGATAATTCCCTTTGAGTTATCTACTTCAATAATTCTTCATCAGGTACATGTATCCTACAGTTTAAGGTGCAGAGCTCAGGAAATAAAAGATAGAGCATCCTCTGAAGAGAGTTAATGCAACAGGCTTGCGACTGCCATCCTTAGAAAGGCCTGCTTACAAGAGGTCCTTTGGATGGCACCTGAAAACCTGACTGGGATCCAGTTCCTGACACTGACGTAAACTTCCCCTAATGGTAAGAGTGGCGTATTGTTCTTACGCTGTTTACACCAGCAAGACAATTTACTCTGAACACCTGCTTTCTTTGGGGGAGCCTGGAATTGTGGTACATGCCAGGGAGAGGGTACCTACATGACCAACACCCAATAAAACATTGGGCGCTGCTTCCCTATACAATATTTTATACATAGAACAAATGGGCGCTAGAGAAATTAAGCACATCTTGGTAACTCCATGGGGAGAAGACTCTTAGAAGCTTGTGCCTGGCTTCCTCTAGATTTTGCCCCATGTACCTTTCCCCTTTTGCTGATTTTGTTTTTGTATCCTTTTGTGTAATAAATGTGTGCCATGAGCAGGGCCACATGCTGAGTACTGTGAGTCCTTCTAGCCAATTACCAAACCTGAGGGTGGTCTTGGGGAGCCCCAACACAAGGCTCAGAGGAGTATCTGCAACACAAGGAGTATCTGCACTAGAAATCCAACATACAACGTCCTAGTGTTTTAATAACAGAGAATAGAGAAAAATGTTAACAAAAAATACTCAGAGAACTACTGGAAGATTTGTAACTAAAAAGTTATACAATAATTCACTAAAAACTAAGAGAGAATAGTAAAAATCAAGCTATATCCTACCCAAGTATCTAAAGTTCAATGAGAAAGAATTCACTAGATCTAGATCTCCAGGCAAAAACCAAGATACTGTTACAAGGGGGATCATTCTTTTATTTGGTCCAGATTTCTTCATGGCTACAACTGATTCCATACTGTCTACAAAGTGCTAACAGAAATAATATGTGACCTGAAACTACTATAATCAGCCAAGTTATTGTTTAAATATAAAGGCAACTGGTGATTGACTGACAGCCTGAGAACCCAAGGGTCACTGGTTGGACTCCCAGTCAGGACACCTGGCTTGCAGGCCAGGTCCCCAGCAGGGAACATGCAAGAGGCAACCACACATTGATGTTTCTATCCCTCTCTTTCTCCCTCCCTTTCCTTCTCTCTAAAAAATAAATAAATAAAATCTTTAAAAAAGAGAATGAAAGAGCGTGACATGAATCAGGGGAAAGATGTCCACAGTATAATCTGAAATGAATCAAGAAACAAAACCTTAAAAGACCTGTGATTGGTGTAAATGACTGGTGTAAAACTGAATAGGAGATAACAGAAATAAGAACAGTGGTTTCCTGGTAGGGAAGCAGAACACAAGAGAATTTTCTGGGGTGATGGAAATGGTCTATATCTTGTCTGGGTTGCGTCTTGGCGACATAAGTGTACACATTTGGCAGAACTTAGAAGTTGGTACAGTTAACTAAGATCTCTCCATTTCACTACATGCAAACTTTACCTTAAAATAAATAAAATAAGGAATTTAAAAAATCAATTTTTAGGTTGTAAGAGTAATGCTTTTGGTAAAAAATAAAACAGAAATGTTACAACTGAAATTATCTTCCTTTCCCATTTCTCCCCATCCAACCATCTCATAGTTAATCACTGAGAGTTAAGCCCTATTAATAGCTGGGTATATTTTCCAGACACTTTTCTATATATAAATAAATATACACAAATGTGTTGTTGTGTGTATCTTTTCTTAACTGAAAAAGAAACACACTTATCCCACACACAGCAACCCCACATTAAAGACTTAATATAATACTCCACTGCATGGATAAACCACAATTTATTAAACCACTACTTTACTCTTGACCCCCTAAATTATTTCAAAGCTTTAACAAAATATGCATTTTTATAGTCTGTTGGGGACCACTTCATGTGGTATTGGAAACTGCAGCCCTGTATAAGCAAGGCCTTGAAAGAGGCCTATAAGTCTGGGCTGGAATGCTGGGAATGCTGGAGGCAGGCATGACCCCTTACTAGCCCAGAGGGTTCCCGGGGGAAATCAGGCCTAAAGAATGCATCATACCCTTGAGGCTTGCTTTGCTTTGTATAGTCCTGTTGCCATGAATCAGATATTCAAGTCCAGAGCAGAATAAGTGAACGCCTTATCTCATGAACCACGCCTTAAGGGACCATCTGGTGTCAGTATGGCTAACAGAACCTGACCTGAGGCAAATCTCTGTGTTCCTTCAACTGTTAACTATAAACAGTATCTATTTTCCCTACAATATCTGTTTGCCCTAACTATGGCCTTTAGACATTGATGGATGAGCTTTGTATGCATACTGCACACCCCTGCGCATACCAATCTCAATAAAAGCCACGTCAGAGAAGGGCTTGGGGCATTCTCCACTAGAGGGAATCGCCACCCCCTTTTCCGCCAGACAAACTGTGTCCCGGATTACTCATTTCATCCACGACTGGGAGGACTCCTAGGGACAGGGTTCCCCTCAATAGTTATTATAATTCTTACCCGTATACAAAATTATACCATATTTGGGGATTTTTAAATGATCCTTGAAAAAAGAACTCCCAGTATAATATAAAAGCCTATTTTTTCAATTTTCAAACATACCTTCCAAATACATAAATGAGTAAAACACTGCTGTTGTGCACACAGGACATACAGAGTAATTTAACACAATTACGAATTAATGAATAAAAGTTTGCAAACACATCAGCTATGAAAGTAGGAAATATGTTGATCTGTATTTTTGTTGTAACTGAAAAACTGTTTTAATTTAGCAGCGGACTATCTTGAGATATACAAGTAACAAAAGGAAATTTCTTAGAAAGTAGAGGAAAAAAATACCAATCACACACAAAACAGACCAAAAATGCAACTGGGCCCATTCCATGTCTTCTTTTCTAGTACTTTCCATAATAGAGTATGAAGTCAGCATTTATGAATTTTTGAATTCCTACCTATATAAAGTTATTAATAATGGAGAAACTCAGTATTGTCATCAAACAGTAAATAAAGAACCTGTGAGAAATGTTTCCTTAGAAGAATATAATTGGAAAAGGAAATAGTTACAAACCTTGGTCCAATAACAGGAATAAGTAAGACATCCTGGAGGCCTGGATGTTGAAGAACAGGAACACTTAATCCATTAAACTGCTGTTAAGAGTAAACACACAGGATTGCAAAGCAATCAATATATCCAATAAATTTCAACTTATGGAGTTTTTCAGTATCATTACCTAGCATAGCATGAAGCTTGGTAGGAATATTTTCATGTTATTCCATGGGATACCATAAAAATCAGACTTCAGAACAACTATGTGTTCTCTGTAATTTGATTCTGAAATATTCTTTTTTTCAATTACAGTTGACATTCAATATTTTTCTATATTTGTTTTAAGTGCACAGCATAGTGGTTAGACAATTATACAATTTATGAAATGATTGATAAGTCTAGTTCTTACCTGGCACCATACACAGTTATTACAATATTACTGACCATATCCCGTATGCTGGCTTCTTTATGAGGCTCAATACTGTTTGGCTTTATAAATACAAACCATGTTTACCTTAAGTGACTTGCTTTAAAAATATATCCAATACAGAACTGCATGTAGGGCTCATTTGAGAAAAGATTTTGAATAAGATATTAAGTATTTAGATTATTAACTACTATTTATTATACACTATCATTATGCTATGCTAATTTTGATGACAGAAATAAATGGGTTTTTTTGCAAAGGTTCAGGACTTTCAAAATCTTCCATCATAGTTGGCTGTCAGACTAGAAAAAGGTTCAGGGCCACTGGAGTAGGTGCTGAAGCCAGCCTACACAGCCTCACCAGAGCCAAAAGCATGCTTCTCTTCCCAACTCGGCAGTCTTGCTGGTGGCTTGAAAATGACCACAGCGGGAGTATATACACAACTTAAATCAGCAGAACACCAAAAAGAGTTATTTTTTCCAGAAATGGGCTATTGAATATGTACGAGTACATCACTGCTGCAAGCAGAAGATGACTCCACACAGCAGAAAAAAAATGAGCAGAATGGTGGATTGGGTAGCAAGGACTGTATATTCCATCAGAGGAAAACATGCAAATATTGTGAACGAGTCTGCTATACGGACTAGGGATTGTCAACACATTAATTTCCACATACTACATGAAAGAACAGTAATTACAATAGATACTAGCATTGCCCTGTAGTACACATACACTACCTAGGAAAGAACTTCTAAGTTAACTTATTTGTAAATTGTAAGAAAAGTTGTTCATGTTTTAGAAATCTACATTTCTACCAAGTCAACAGATCTCATTTGATCAGTCACCTCTCCGCTTTTGTACCTTCCTTATTATTTGTTGGTCTTACAGCACCCAGACTATGGTAAACGATCTTTAAAAGGAAAAAAAAAAGATAGTAAACTTCATCATTTGTTGTTTAGTTTTAGGAGTACAATTTGCTTTATGCTATAGAAATATTTTATATAGAGATCAATCCTTCTCAATCCAATATTATTTTCTGTCAGATATGAAACTGATAAAACTTTCATAAAGCCATACATGAGCATAATGTTCATAAAACAACACAAATAAACTTATTTTTAAACCAATCACATCACGTTTCTTTCATCTCTACCTCATGCCCTTTTAAAAACAGCCTTATTGAGGTTTAATTTACACACCATAAAATGCATCCATTTTAAACATACAATTCAATGCTTTTTAGTAAATGTAAAGAATTGTGCGACCATCACCCCGATTCAGTTTTAGATGATTTGCACCATCAAAGATTCACTGTGCCCGTCTGTAGTCGGTCCATGTTCCTAGCTCCGACCCTAGGCAACCATTACTATTGTCTTTCTTTATAAATGTGTCTTTCCTAGACTTACATATAAATTAAATATACAATATGTACAATGTCTTGTGTCTGCCTCCTTTTGCTTACTATAATGTTCCTGAGGTTCAACAATCTTGAAGTAAGCATCATTACCTTCACGGCTGAATAACACTCCATTGTATGAATATACCACATTTTGTTTTTCTACTCACCAGCTGATAGACATTTGGACAGTTCCTTTCTTTTAGATATTATGAAAATGCTGCCATAATGTTCAAGTATTTTATGGACATATTTTCATTCTACTCTTTGGTTGTACAGCAAGTTTATGTATAACTTTTTAAAAGACTACCAAATTATATTCCAAAGAGGCCATTTGACATTCCCATTTACAAAGTATGAGGGTTCCAGTTTCTCCACATCTTCACCAAATAAATTATAAATTGTTAAATGTCAAAATGTGGCCCAGATAAACTTGGAGACACAGCACCTACTCTTATGTCATTCCACTCGTGACTTCTCTTTAAGACACAGGTAGCTTTGGAACATGAATGAAAAAAAATTTTTTTATAGTCTAAAACATTCTGTAGTTCCCTTTCCTGTTAGCAGTTGGTACTGCTCTACCCTCAATTTCCTATCGGATGCTTAGGACCCACCCTTCTCTGTTCATTAACCTTTAGGGAAAGGGATTCAAACCCCATGCAGAGTGATGCTGTCTGCCTCATCCTCAATACTGGCCCATGAGATCTTGTATACCCATCAGTCTGGGAGACAAGAGTATCTAAGCTCTAGGAATAATTTGCCAGCAAAGAAAACAATCTGGACCTGCCTCGGTTATGGACACTTCTGAATGACCTCAGACAATTCCCTTTCTACCGGCTGAAAGCCTACATGCATGGTTACATAAAACTAGTAATTTAGTTGCTTAGAAGAACTGCTTATATTTTATGGCTAATGTCATTACTCTCAATAAAATTACCACTATTAATAATTAAAACTCAAATTAATTTTTCTCCAGGTCTTACACTCAGATACCATAGCTGGTTCTTAGAATATAGTCATCAAGTCACAACTTGAAATCTATAGAACTGTTCTTAAAGACACTCAATACTAGTGATATAGGACGTCATGTTGGCCAAGTGGTTAAGGCGTTGGATTTGAAATACTAGTGATATTTTTCTGAAAGTTTCCGAATATTATATCTAGAGTACACTAATAACACAGTGATATACAAATGCAAGCCCTTTATCATGCTTGCCTCTTGCTTTTAATTTACATAGTAATTAGGTAAAAATAGGTCTGCTGACACCTGCAAGTTAATTGTTGTAAGAGCTTTAATAACTACAAAATGCAATTTGAAGTACCCCCATCAGGCATGTTTTTCACCATTTTACATTTCTTTGGAGGCAAATTTCAATGCACAGTGAACGAAACACAAAATACATAGCTTTTGAAAGCAAATTATGATGACATAAGAAAACTCAAATATTACTTTTATGTTTGGAACTTATAAAATGCCATTATAGAATAGTATTTTCACATTCAGCAAATGAGTATTATGCCAAAACTGTTTTGCTAGTTGAACAAGAAATAATTGGTTATTTTCTTTTACAAATATATTTTATTTATTTATTTTTATTTCTTAATTTGGAAGGAAGAGGAAGGAAGAGGGAGAGAGGTGGGGGCCAAGAGAGAGGGGGAAGGGAGGGAGTGGGGGAAGGGCGTGCTGAGAGAGAGCGAGGCAGGCAGACATTGATTTCTTACTCCACTTATTCACACATTCATTGTTTGATCCTCGTGTGTGCCCTCACCCAAGATGAAACACGCAACCTTGGCATACAGGGAAGATGCTCCAACCAACTGAGCTACTTGGCCAGGGCCTAAAAATTATTTTCTTTATAATGTTCTAATTTCCTGCTTTCATTAAAGATTGTAAGGCATTTCTCCAAATGATAGTTGTTTCTTTTTTTAATGTCAATTAAAAACATAATCCTACAGGTAATCAGTAGGTTCTTCCCAACCTCTGGGCTTGCCTAAACTATACAATCTGCCCTCCTGAAAATTATATGCTGCTTGTTAAAAAAACCACAGACTTCTAGGATTGGACTAGACCTCTTCACATGTATTCTAATGATGAAGCAACTGATGTCCAAAGAGTTGGGTGACCTACCCAATCACTAAAAATAATTCAGTCAGAAGTACTAGCTACAAATTCTAGCAGTACTACTCACTTTGTAACCTTGAAGAATTTAACATTCACCATCCTTAATTTCCATATTTGTAAAATAGTGTTATATCATTCATAGGATTGTAGTGGGGAGCAACATGACCTGGATTGTATAAATGTCATTCTGTATATAATGACATAAAAAATTTACACAAACCTTCTGAAGTTCATCAAGTAACAGATTTTTCACATGTTGCACCGAGGCTAGATGTGTATTTACTCTGACAGTTGTGAATGATGGAGGGTGTGACAAGCGATTTAACAGAGTTTCAAACTTCCTTTCTGCTTCTTGTTTACCAAAAGCCGACACAACCTGAAGAAAAAGAGCAAGTTACTGTTTCAATTTCATTATACAAATTAAAAATATTAAGCAGAATATGCACATATATGTATGCCAACTTATGAACACCTTTCAACAATTATTCAGCTCCATTTCATTTTGTTTTATTGTTCACGTGTTAATAACACTCAGGGAATCGCAATACTACTGCACAGGGTTCTTGGGTTCAACTGTGATAATAAACACCTAACAAAATGCCCAACATAAAGGCTTAGAAAAACATTGCTTTAACTTCAAAGCATTATTAAGACATTTTGAAAGTGTTAGCAGCTGCTATGTTTATCCATATAAATTCAGAATTTCATTCTACTTACTTACAATGCATTAACTGTCACATCCGTTCTGTAAAGCTACTTATGTGCTGACCTTACATTCTAGAGCAGTGGTGCTTAGTTTTAAAATACCAGAATTTGAAGTAACACTGATGCTGTCATACAAAAATCCAGTGTGACATCAGATTTTAAAATGGTATTAGTAAGTATAACAAACAGACACCATCCCAAAAAGTTTGGTAGCTAGGGTACATGTCAGAAACGAAGTTGTAGACTTAAACAACCAAGTTCCTCTGTAATTAACTAGGGCTTTTCAGGACACGTATTTCCCAACTTTTGTCATCTTTTGACTATAGCCTGCCTCACAGATCTTTATAAACCACCTACAAGCCCACAAATCCACGGGCCTAAAAGTATTAGTACTTTCTCAAGGTTTAGTTTTTAAAAGAAAAAAAAAAAACCCTGAAAATCCTTTACTTCTGATACTTTTTACAAAAACTGATTTTTTCTTTTTTTGTAAAATCATAGTGGGTTTGAGGCAGAGGTAGTGTCCAACAAAAAAAGGTATTGGGCTCTTTCATAAAACAATGTTGGATCATTTAAAAAATTGCTGAGAACCCTGGCCAGGTGGCCCAGTTGGCTGGAGTGTCATCCCACACACCAAAGGTTGTAGGTTCAATCCCAGTCAGGGCACACACCTGCGTTGGGGGGTTTCATCTCCCAACAGGGCAAATGATGGATGTTTCTCACATCAATGTCTCTCTCTCTCTCTCTCAAATCAGTAACATATCCTCCAGTGAAGATTACAAAATAATAAAAAAATAAAAATTGCGGAGAAAAAAATACTGAATGCCTCCATTTGTCTATGTTCTTTATATTTTAAGTTCTTTGAAATCAAGAGACATTTTCTCTTTTCCATTGTTCAGCCCCATAACATAATCTTTGGAAATTAAGTGTAGAAGTCAAATCTAAAGGTAATAATAGCTTCAGTAAAATTTTCAAATAAGTAACACTCAAGTGGCTTTACTTTGAATGGAACACCAAAGATTTAGAAAATACAGTTGCCTAGAGGGATTACAAAACTGTACATTTTTAGCTTTAGATTTCAGTACTACTACTTGAAAACTCGGTCAATTTGGATCAGTTAAATGGTTCTTTAGACCTTCAGTTCTCCGACCTCAGAACTGATCAGAAAGAAGGAGATTGCTACCAAAAAGACTGCCAAGAGAAACACGCAAAGGTCCTCAAATCGCCTAAGCACTTCTCGTGACATTTAAGAGGCACCCAACAAATTATAGTGCCTCTTCCGCCTGAGCTACGAAGCAGACGCTCTAGAATTTGGCCTGTATCTCCAAACAGGACAAATTCTCCAGGGTAGGTGGTCTTCTCCTGTACATCTTTCTAAGGGAAGATACTGGCATTTCTTACATTCAGAAAGACAAGTAGCTAGAAACAACGGCTGTAAAGACTGTTTCGTTCAGACTTTTTTCTATTTCTAGGGTCTGTAAATACTTGAATGTTTGCAAATATCATGTTACATGTTTAGCTGACCTACCTCCTTATTCATAAAGCCCTCTTTAAGATAGTTTTCAACCTCAAGCCTCAAAGATATTCTAGGGAAAATAGACATTGTGCCTATTGCTAAATTCTCCTCCAAGAAAAACGTTGAACACGATGGTTTTTCCCGTCCTGAACTGCAGCGAGCAGCGTCTGGACAGTGAATACCAGTGACAACGGGTCGGGACCACCAGATGCACAGGAAAACCGCACCGCTCTCGCCGAGTTAAATTCCAAGGTGCGAAGCAACATCCACTCTTTGGGGAGCGCAGCCTGTTTTAATCCGCTTCCGCGCCCCCATCACTCCGACCCTCGGTCCTCCTTTAGGAACGCTCACGGCACCCCCGTGAGACAGTGCCACCCGCGACGCAGAGAAAAAGGCACAAGGAGCGAGTCCTTTAGGAACTGGACGGACACCCGGAAACCAGCTCGGCCGCACCCAACCTTTCCAAACCTGCGCCTCCAATTTTCCCACACAAAGCACTAGGAGGTGGCGTCACTTCCCGCGACGTGCCCCACCGGGCAGCCAATCCACAGTCACAAACTGCGTCACGTCACCCCAGGGTTCCGAGGATCTGGGGTGTCGCAGCGACGTGCGCAGGCTGGGGAGTGCCAGCCAGGGCGTCTTCGAGTGTGCAGGTGGCGGTGGGGCGCGGGGCCGCAGCGGTGGGTGGTGGAATTAGGGATGGGCCGGCTGCGCGGGCAGCACTTGGACTGGGAGAGCTGGGTGCCCAGGGAAGTGCGGAAGTGGTGTGGATTCGGTGGAATGCTTTGCTGCCCGGAGTAGGTGAGGGGGTCCAAGAGCTAAGGTGCTAGACGATCTCCCAAGAAAGGATCAAGTCAAAGCTTATTTGGACCTCAGCCACACTGTGATTTCATGAATCTATTTCAGGCATAGAGCTCTGACTTTATTGTGAACACAATTGAAAACCAAAAACTGGGCTAATGGATGCTCAGGCAAAGCTTAAAAACCCACAGACAGTATTAATAATTCGTTGATTTATACCTGAAAGCTCAGACGACCTTTGGCAAAATCTTTTGATGATACAGATGACGAAAGAGTTTCAGAGGGACAAGGTACCTAATGAAAGTCAGAGCCATATTATGACTGGGAAACAAAATAATTTCTCCTGTCCCTTTAATGTTTTGCTGAAACTGTAATCATTATAACTGTAGGACAGTTTTTGCCTAAGTCTTTTTCTCTTTAATTCTCAAAGTAAGATATTTTTTAAAGGATAAAAGCAACTTTCTACGAAACGTCAACCAGGTTCTGCAAAAATATTTTAACTTATGGCCATTATGCTATACAGCCTTGCAAGGGGGTTATCACTGCCTTTTACATGAGTAAAACAAGACTGCCAAAGATGAAATCCCTCCATGGCTTCACAATGAATGAGAAACCCAAGATACAGATTATAGCCACCCAACTTCTAAAGCCAATACCTACTCATTCCTCCATGACATCCTTCAATAAGATGGGATTCTTCTAGGTTTAAATGGACTTCGAGTGATTAGGAAAATGTCTGAACCGCGCATTTCCAAAGGAATCTTTGTGGCCTCGACATTGTGGTGATCATAGCACCAATAATGGTCTGAATCTGTATGTAGTAGCTAAGGAAGAGGGAAGAACAAATTGAACTACTGGGTTGGGCAAAAAGTTCATTTTTTTCCCCCTGTAAGATGGCTGTAGTAGCGCTTAGTTGTCCTTAACTTTATTTGAAACAATTTTGTTAGGTTGTATTGTGACAGCTGTCATATCAGTGTGCATTTTTTAAAATCTTACAAAAATTGGTGAATTTTTGTGTAGCCATTTCAATATTGAAGATGGAAGAAAGTATATATTTTCAGCATATTATGCTTTATTACTTCAAGAAAAGTGAAACAATTGAAATGCAAAAAAAAAAAAAAAACCCACATTTGTGCAATGTGTGGAGAAGGTACTGTGACTGATTGAATGTGTCAAAAGTGGTTTGCAAAGTTTCCTGCTAGAGAGTTTCTGCTGGGCAGTGTTCCATGGTCAGACAGACCAGTTCAAGTTGACAGTGATCAATTTGAGACATTAATTGAGAACAATAAACATTCTACCACGGGAGATAGTCAGCATACTCAAAATATCTGAATTAATCAAGTTATTGGTGAAAATGAAAAATGTCTTTTATTTTACGGAAAAAAACATAGACTTTTTAGCCAACCAACAGATTATAAACTCAGAGAAGTTCGAGCCTTTATCATAACACTTTATACCCAGTGCATAACACAATATAGGCACTCAAGTACTAAGTGACCAGATAAATACATGGATGGACATTTGTGTGAAGTAGAGAAAGAAAATGCTGATAAAGCACATATTTGCTGAAAATTAATTTACTAGTTGAGCACATGTGAACAATGCTGAGGCTACTTAAGACTATCCTTGGCTGGACATTTTTGTGGTGACTGGTATGCCTCATTTTACAAATGTGAAGTTAGCGTAGTGAATAGATGTTGTCCAAGCAAAGGAAAATCCCCTCTGAGGATTTAGGCTGTTCTTAGTGGGGTAATATGGGCCCTGGTAGGGGTGGGGGACCAGAAAAATCTTAGATCCAACCTTACAGTCTTCCATCTGTTTGCAATACTCTAAATCTTAACCTTACCAAGAAACAGATACACACACGGGGTTAGGAAAATGTAAGTCTAGAAAGGCTGGAAATCTGTCGATCTCAACTCACTCAGAGACTAACCAACATGGCAAAAGTCACAGTGAACATTATCTTAAAGGTTGAGGACAGTTTTCTTCTATTTTTAAGAATTTTTTCACTTTTAGTGGACAGACATGCTGTCCCTGGAGTTTTGGTTCAAGCCATGTAATTTATCTAAGTTAACAGAGTGCTGCTTCTTTTTCATTCAACATGTCTTGCTTGTTTTACATCTGCTTCATTGCTTTGAACTGCACTGTGGCATTCCAAAGTGGGTGTCAGCTGTGTGTTACTTACATGTCCACTTGGTGGACCCCTAGGTGACTCCAACCCTAGGTACCTATAACCCCTCAGCACAGACAAGGCCATAATGAACATCCTGATTTGTGTCCCCTTCCATGCTTGTGTGGAAAGTTCTTCAGCACAGGTATTCAGGATGGGATTACAGGTCAAACAGGTTGATTTCTCAATGGTTCAACCAAATTTTTCTTTTTATAGTAACTCTCCCACTGGACGCTTCCCATTTCTTCTCATCCTCATTAGCCCTTTTATTGCCCAACTTTCTATTTTTTGCCAGTCTGATGGAGGTAAAGTGGTACAGTGTTTTAATGTGCATTCATCTCATTCCCAGGAATTTGGCGAATTTCTTCATATACTTGTCAGTCTTTCTAGTTTCCCTTTCTGTAAAGTGTTCATTTCTCTTTGCTCATTTTGCCACGGGGATTTCCTGTGTCTTTGTTCTCAAGACTTGCTCATGTATTCCTGGGCTGTTGCAAATAACCCAGAATGCACTTAAATTTGTGTATCTAGGGATGTCCTTTCCTAAACAGAAATATTTAATTTTAATGTAGGTGAATTAACTATTGTTATCTCATTTGTTGCTTTTTGATTTATTTAAAAGTAGTTAAGATAGTTTACATTTTCTTCTCTTAGTGTATTAGCTTTTGCTTTCACATTTAGGCCACTAAACAGGGCTAAGTTCCAGCTAGTACATGTTGGTCTTTGCAATGCCTAGTGCCTGGTCTGCATGTTCAAACATTTGTTATCATTGGTGTACTGGCTGCTATTATTACTTTTCAACTATTTGAAATTCACATTTGTATATGAAATCCAAGATTTACTTTCATATATGAGCCAGTTTTTCTCAGTGCTATCTACTAATAAAGTCATTAATTTTTAAATGTGCGGTACAATTCTGGCAACAGCGTGTCACATTCTTTTTTGTTAGAACATGGCAATCCTTTGACCTCATACTGTAGGAAAGAAACCTTTATAATATTTTAAAAACATAATATTGGCATAGTTCTCATTTTTTCCAGATCTTTTATGTCTGTTGGTAAGTTTAAACACATGAAAATTATGTATGCATTTTCAGCAGAATAAATGGGAATACCTTAAAACACACAAACACACCGAAGTGCAATAAAGTGAGGCTATGTCTCCAAGTTTGGTAGGTCAAAAGGACTTGCTCTCAGGGGTTAAAGCTACAAGACTCAAGTCCATAGTCTTTTCAATTAAGTTTGCTCCTGCAACTGGTTTCAGGGGAATTAGTTACGTTTCATCTCAGGCTGTGAAGCTGCTAAATTTGTTATGGAATATAACCATGAAAAAGAAAATGGAATTGAACCAACTACATAGCGAATTGGTTTATATACACCCGGACTTCCGAGTTAATTAGTAATAAATTGAACTCAATTCCATCTGCAGCCAATTCTTCCAAGATTATCTGAAATTAGTTTAAAATAGTTCCTTTTAAGTTGTATTAGGTATCTATATATATTTTAATTCCCTAGTTTGACTTTTCCCCCCATGAAATATCAGTTTGTTTTGCTTCAAAGTACAGCACTTGTAGCTTTTTCTTCTATTTTGTTGAACCCGGGAAACTACTGCGATTCCATTTTAATTCTAAAAAGTAAATTTCAATTAACAGGAAAACGTTATTTTCTTATTTTGTAGATTTGGGATTCACAAAAAATACCAAGATCTTGGCGAAACTGGGAGTCCTTAAGTTAATCACAGAACTGAACTCTATGGCTACAGTTATGCCATGGATTCTCTCCCCATCAATTCCTTTCAGAATTAAGAATAAAGACAGAACCCCAGGAATGACAGGTAGAAATGACAGGTAGAGAGGTCAGCCTAAAGACAATTCTCACTTCTGTATAGCAAAAGGAGGCAGCTCCAACGAACTGCAGACTGCCCCAGGTTTGGAGGCCAGGGACGCACTTGCTAGACATCAAACTCTAAAGCTTGAACCGGCAAACGTTTCTAAACTGTGACGAGAAAGGAAGCGTTTACGCGGGGAAACTCCTCAACTCCCACGCACACTCCGACCTCCTACCCGACTGGCTGCTAGCACTCCTTATACCGGAAACGAAACCGGAGACAGTGCCACGTCGAGTGCGTGGTTTGACGTAAGCGCGCTACGTCAGGTGCCGTTCTTCCGGCGATGGGTGGTCCCGCGTCGGGAGGAAAGGCGGAGCGGAGGCGGGGCTTGGGGCTGGTTGAGACTTTGGTGGGTAGGTGGGTGCAGACGGAGGGGACTACGGGTCGGCGTTGGGCTCAGTGCGCTTGAAACAAAGGACTAGCTGGTGGGGACTCTGCTCGACGCCTTCGGTGGGTAGCCGAGCCGCCGATCGCGGCTTCACGGCCGACCAGTTCCCTCTCCGCGGCGGTCTCAGTTGGCTTCTCCTCGGTACTCCACAGCCCGCGTCGCGGCGGGGGCCCCGGAGCAGCAGCACCTGCTGCTGAGGGACCCCGCGGCCCGCCCAGCTGCTCATGATGGGGCTGATCTTCGCTAAACTGTGGAGCCTCTTCTGTAACCAAGGTGAGAAGCATGGAGCTGCGCAGAGGCTCGAATGCTTTGAAGAGGGTTTGGCCGCCAAAAGGGACAGCAGCTAGCAGCGCTCTCGGTGTACACAGCTGTTTCGAGACGCAGAGCAGGGACTTAGTCAAGGGAGCGAGTAGAAATTCAGTATTTGGGGCTGGGAGAAGGTGCCGGAGGGATCTGATGTGCGGAGAAGCGGGAAGTCAGAAGGAGAGGCATTTGATGTCCCAGAACCTAAACTGAGGATTTTGAATTGTAGTGAAGCTAAGCGGAGAGCACCTTATTGGTACATTTTGGGTGCCTTTTACGCCTCGAATTAAAAATCTCTAGTCTTGCCTTAGGGCAAGACTAAAACTTACAACTTTTGTTTACTCGGGTTAAGTCAGTGCGCCTTCACTTTCTCTCTGAATGCGCCAGTTCTCTAGAACTCGGGAATGAGTTGTCCTTTTGAAATACACGGCTTTCTGAAAATCATCATCCTAAATCCTTTATTCCTTTCATAGATGTTAGAAAACAAAAGGCTCTCGGTCCTAGGTAGGATCTTGCGTGTCTGTGATCAGTCTAGACTGCTTATGAGACATTTGAAAGTTGCAAGTCCAAAGGGCCAAGAGTTGTAAAACCTGTTCTGAGTCAGGGAGAATGAAATGTGATGTCTTGTGAAGAGAGAAAAATACCCAGACAAAAAAGAAGTACTTTTCAAGTGATTTCAGAGTGGCCAGTTTGTCTTTATGAATATTAGTCATAAAGGTAATGCATTATTTTAAGCAGTTTATATTTTATACTCCTTGTTGCATAAATTCATTAATATATAAAGCAGCATTTTAAGATATGCCAAAAAATACATAGCTTTGTACAGTAGTCACCTGCTTATCTTTTCTTGTAGTTTAAGAAATAAAACATTACCAGAGTCTTTGGTTCTCCCTGGTAACCTGTCCCATTCCCCTTTCTCCCCTCTCTGTTTTATTATCTTTATCTTGCTTTTGAGTCTTTCTTAATCAAAATAAAAAGAACTGAAGTATATAACTGGAAAATTCCGGAGACAGTGAAAGACATTTCATGGGATGCTTTTATAGTTGTAACTGTTCAGGTCTTTTAAATCCTCATTACTATTGAGATTCTTCCTTTAACTTACCTGTTGTATATTTAGTACTAGTGGTTTTTCGATCATTTTATTCTCATTTATTCATGCAACTAACTAACCAGTTGGTTATAGGACATAAACCAGTCTTGCATGGGAGTTAAGCTTGGGAGATACAAAGATTTAAAAACAAACAAAAGATACAGTTACTTGTCCTCGTGGTGCACAAAGATCAGTACATGACAGAAAGCAGTAGGGAAAAAATGCAGTGTGGAAAATTATTTAACTGATTGTATACAAGTGTGGTGATGGCACCAAAAGGAAAGGATTACTTTTATTCATGTGGTTCCTGGAAGAGTGCAGAAAAAAGTATACTTGGACTTTAATGACAAGTAGGAATTTACAAGGGGTGCTAGGCAGATTGAGTAGAAGGGGCATGTTATTCTAGGCAAAAGAACTAATAATATGCAAATGGAAGAGGAATTAGTTTGGTACATGGAAGGAAGCTGAAAATAGTTTAGTTTGGCTGTATTTTAGTTTGCCTGTGGGGGAGTTAAAGGAGATGAGGTTGGAAAGACAGCTAGGGGAGCCCAAGCACAGAAGGCCTTGGATGTTGACTAAGACTTTAAACTCTACGAAGCAAGCCATAGGAGCCATGCCATAGGAGCGGTTGAAGAGTTTGGTCTTGGTCTGTTACGTTTGAGCAAGGGATTGATACTTTAGTCCTGTTACTTTTACTTTCTATATTGACAAAGTTAACTGACCATCTTGGCTTTTTCCATTTTCACTGCTCTAACACAGCTAATCCAGAGATACTCAAGTCACTCAACCTTGGTTACATATTAGAATGATATGCCCAAGGCCCACCTCAGATCAGGAAAGTCAGAGTGGGGTGGGGTGGTCTGGGCATCAGTGCCAAGATAATTCGTATGTGCGGCCAGAGGTGAGAACTACTTATCTCACCTTAAATACTCCTTCTCCTTATCTTTCTTCCAGCATTTTCCTCACTCTCATCTTTTTTTTTTTTCCTTGTAGCATTTTAGAGCACTAAGCATCTTTTCACAAACTTGCCATCTCTCTGGAAATAAGTGTACGAAAGCATGTATTGTCTTCGTAAAGTTATTACATAATACATAATTAGTCTCTGTAATTTTGTATTGCTTCATTTTAAGCTACAAAACTGAATACCTTGCTGAACTGACACACTTATCAATGAAAGAAATGTCAAAATCTTAATTATCTTAATGAATCTTATTTTATATATCTATATGTTTGTGTATGTGTTTGTATAAAATAAATCAATTCATGTCTATGATGTCTTTAAATCCACCTCAAAAGTTGAGCATTCTTTAACTTTTCTTGGTCTTCTGTTGTTACTGTACTACTGGTAATTGGTTATTTCTTGTATTACACAGAATGAAGGATGAATGGAATGTGGTTTTCGTGGTAGTGAATTTTCAGAAGCAAATACTGACAGTATAATTTCATTATCTAATCATGTCTTTTTGGTGGATTCCATGTTTTCTTGAGCACTGATAGCCAACTTTTATGTGGCATTGTTCTGACTTCTCAGATCTGCTGTCTCTCACTTCTCTCTGAATTGTGGACATTTTGCTGGTTTCAGGCATATGAAACTTAAACTTACCATCTGTCTACTCCCTGTTTTCTGGAATATTCTCCATATCTTACTTTAGATGGTTCAGGTTTCTGGTCAAATGTGCATCCTTAAGGACTTCCCTGACCACTCTTCCCACCCCACACGCATTTCCTATTTTTTGCACTAATGTTGTTTTCATAAGTTTGTTTATTTGTTTGTTTCTCTCAATAGGAATAACTTTAAAGGCATGAACTTTATCTTCTTCCCTGTTATATCTCCAATCCAAAAAAAATATGCTGATTTTTTTTTATGTTTTTATACATAAAAGTTTATACATATACATATACATATGTCTTATACATATTAAAGTAACATGCACACAGTTGTTTTTTTTAAGTTAAACAGTGCTAATGTCTTTATGATATGTATTAGTCAAATCTCTTGACTTTTTCCCAGTACCTCCATATTTTTAATAATATGCATATATAGAAATTTTAAATATCATTTGTGTTTTTTAATTGGGATATAATTGACAAAATGATGTTAATGCATTTCAAGTATGCAAATCATTTATCTTATTATGGTAGAAGGGAAATCAGTGCCTTTGTGACCTTTTCCATCATTATCCCGGTATAGGTTTTCAGTTTAATCTCCACTGTCTTTTCATTATTATAACTGTATAGATGTGTTGCTGCTGGGCCAATTTTAGTATGCTAAAATTGTTTCCCTTTTTTCCTACATTTTTTCCCCTAGAGTAAATAATTACAACATCTTACTGCTTTAGTTTCTATGTACACTTGGCTAAGTCACTTTGTTATTCAGAAACTCTGTACTAGTTTCCCCACATCGCATCTCCCAGATGATTTATCCTTCTTCACCACGCCCTCAGTGCTCCTTCCTGCTCCAAACTGGGCTTGTTTCTTTCCATGCCTGGTCCACAGCTGTTCTGGACTCGTCTTTGTCATCATACTAGGAATGTACTTTGTGTTAGAACTCGTGTCCTTTTTGCTTTGCACTTACTTTGATAAAGCATATCATTCAGAAATTTCCTGCAGAGTTGTCCAAAGTGGTAATTTTTTTGCAATTCCAGTGCCTAAAAATGTATTGCTCTGCCCTCAGTTTTGATTTATAATTAGGCTGGATATAGAATTCTGGATTGCAAAACATTTCAGATTTTGAGGTATTGATTGTCATTGTCTTCCAGCTTCCAAGGCTGTTGGGAAGACCAATATCATTCTCATTTTTACTGCCTAGTAGATTTTAGAATTTTCTGTTTACCTCTGGTATTTTTTAAATTTGAAAGGGGTGTACTTTGATTTATTTTTGGTTTATTGCACTGAGCTTTCTGAGCCTTTTAAAAATAAAGGTGTATGCTTTTTGGTTCTAGGAATTTTTTAAGTCTTTTTTTTTTTTGGATTGATCATATGCTACTACACCGATTATCAAGTATTCCTTTCAATTTGACTTTTTTTTTTTTAGTTCTACTTTCTGAGACATCTTTGTTTCCCCATTCTCCTTGTTCAGCCATTGTATTTTTAATTTATAGAAACTTTTTTCTAACTTGCTAAATTTTTTCTAAAGTTGTTCTTATGGCATTGTGTCATAATGCTACATCTTTTAAGTTTCTTTGAACTTTTCTTCTGTTCTCTAATTTTCTATTTCCATTCATTTTATGTTACCCTTTTACATTGGAAGCTGTCCCCTTCGATCTGTTGTAATTCCATTGCAGGAATATGCCACAGTTTGTTTATTCATTTGCATCATGATGGGCTGTAACACCGCGGTCACCCTTAGGACCTTTTTATAGACATGTTTTCATTTCTCTTAGGAGAATATCTAGGAGTACAATTTTTAGGCCATAGAGTAGATATATGGTTCGTTTATAAAAACCGTTAGATTGTTTTTCAGAGTGGTTATACAGTTTTTATACTCTTACTAGCAATGTTTGGAACTTCTACTTGCTCCACATCCTTACCAACATTTGGTGTTGCCAGTCTCCTTTATTAACTTTAGCTACTCTGTTACATGTGTGGTGGTATCTTATTTTGGTTTTAATTTGCATTGCTACATCAACTATTGGGTGTTAAGCATTTTTTTTCAGGTGCTTATTGCCTATTTGTTTATCTTTCCAAAATTGTCAAATATTTTGCCCATTTAAAAACATTTTTGTCCAAAAAATTATGTATACATAATTACTTATACATCCCAGAATTGAATCCTCCATCAGATCCATGTTTTGTGAACATTTTACCTAGTCTTTGCCTTTGCTATTCATTTTGTTAATGAGGAGTTTTCCTCAGTGGAAATTTTGGTATAGTCTAATCT